TTTGCATGCCTGATAGGTGTGGCTGTTTGGCATGCCTGATAGGTGTGGCTGTTTGGCATGCCTGATACGAGTGGCTGTTTTGCATGCCTGATAGGCGTGGCTGTTTGGGATGCCTGATAGGTATGGCTGTTTGACTTCCCTGATATGTGTGGCTGTTTGGCATGCCTGATAGGTGTGGCTGTTGGCATGCCTGATAGAGTGGCTACTTGGCTTGCCTGATAGGTGTGGCTGTTTGGCATGCCTGATAGGCGTGGCTGTTTGGTATGCCTGATAGGTGTGGCTGTTTGGCATGCCTAATAGGCGTGGCTGTTTGGCATGCCTGATAGGTGTGGCTGTTTTGCATGCCTGGTAGGTGTGGTTGTTTGGCATGGCTGATAGGTGTGGCTGTTTGGCATGCATAATAGGTGTGGCTGTTTTGCATGCCTGATCGGTGAGGTTGTTTGGCATGCCTGATAGGTGTTCCAGTTCGGCATGCCTGGTAGGTGTAGCTGTTTGGCATGCCTGATAGGTGTGGCTGTTTTGCATGCCTGACAGGTGTGGCTGTTAGGTATGGCTGATAGGTGTGGCTGTTTGGCATGCCTGATAGGTGTGGGTATTTTGCATGCCTGATAAGGTGGCTGCTTGGCATGCATGATAGGTATGGCTTTTTTGCATGCCTGATAGGCGTGGTTGTTTGGCATGCCTGATAGTTGTGGCTGTTTGGCATGCCTGATTGGTGTGGCTGTTTGGCATGACTGATAGGGGTAGCTGTTTGGCATGGCTGATAGGTTTGGCTGCTTGGCATGGCTGATAGGTGTGGCTGTTTAGCATGGCTAATATGTGTGGCTGTTTTGGCATGCAGGTGTGGCTGTTTTGCATGCCTGATAGGCATGGTTGTTTGGCATGCCTGATAGGTGTGGCTGTTAGGCTTCCCTGATATGTGTGGCTGTTTGGAATGCCTGAAAGGTGTGGCTGTTTGGCATGCCTGATAGTGTGGCTGTTTGGCATGGCTGAAAGGTGTGGCTGTTTGGCATGGCTGATAGGTGTGGCTGTTAAGCATGGCTAATATGTGTGGCTGTATTGGTTTGCATGATAGGTGTGGCTGTTTTGCATGCCTGATAGGCGTGGTTGTTTGGCATGCCCGATAGGCGTGGCTGTTTGGCATGCCTGATAGGGGTGGCTGTTTGGCATGCCTGATAGGGTGGCTGCTTGGCTTGCCCGATATGTGTGGCTGTTTGGCATGCCTGATAGGCGTGGCTGTTTGGTATGCCTGATAGGTGTCGCTGTTTGGCATGCCTGATAGGTGTGGCTGTTTGGCATGCCTGATTGGCGTGGCTGTTTGGCATGCCTGATAGGTGTGGCTCTTTTGCATGCCTGATAGGTGTGGCTGTTTGGCATGCCTGATAGGTCTGGCTGTTTGGCATGCTTGATACGAGTGGCTGTTTTGCATGCCTGATAGGCGTGGCTGTTTGGCATGCCTGATAGGTGTGGCTGTTGGCATGCCTGATAGAGTGGCTACTTGGCTTGCCTGATAGGTGTGGCTGTTTGGCATGCCTGATAGGCGTGGCTGCTTGGTATGCCTGATAGGTGTGGCTTTTTGGCATGCCTGATTGGCGTCGCTGTTTGGCATGCCTGATAGGTGTGGCTGTTTTGCATGGCTGATATGTGTGCTGTTTGGCATGGCTGATAGGTGTGGCTGTTTGGCATGCATAATAGGTGTGGCTGTTTTGCATGCCTGATCGGTGAGGTTGTTTGGCATGCCTGATAGGTGTTCCAGTTCGGCATGCCTGGTAGGTGTGGCTGTTTGGCATGCCTGTTCGGTGTGGCTGTTGGGCATGGCTGATAGGTGTGGCTGTTTTGCATGCCTGATAGGTGTGGTTGTTTGGCATGTCTGATGTAAGAAATAGAGTTGAAATGATTGATTAGGTAAGGAGCCCAAGGCTCTATAAGTACATGGCAAGGAGAGAGAAAAAGGATGAAGGGGGAATTGGAGGGAATCCCCATTGGGATCTCCGGAATCTCCAATTGGGTAATTGGAGATTGGGGGGATCACAATTGGGGGAGGTTGGGATTTGTGAGTACACCCCAACCCACTAGAACATTCACAACCTAAACTAGGATATAAAAGTACAAATACAAAAGTGGTATTTGCAGTCTATTTCTAACACACCCCCGTAGACTGCAAACCCGGTCAAGGAGCACATAGCCCCATGGAACGGAGAAGGCGATGGTGGTCAGCCTTGCCGAGAGCCTTGGTAAAGAGGTCGGCGAGGTTGCAATCTGACGTGATGTACCATACTGTCAGCTGGTCACTCTGAACAAGATCTCGGATGAAGAAATGACGAAGTTCGATGTGCTTGGTGCGAGAGTGGAACACAGGATCCTTGGTGAGATGAATGGCACTCTGGTTGTCACACCACAGGGTGGGCGACTGCTGGGGGTAGCCTAACTCAGCGAGGAGAAAGGAGAGCCAGCGTGCCTCTTGAGCAGCCATTGTGCCCGCGTAGAGCTCGGCCTCGCAGGACGACAGGGAGACTGCAGAGGACCGAGTGGAGCGCCAGCTGATGACTCCGCTACCAAGGGTGAAGCAGTACCCTTGGGAGGAGCGTCTGTCAGTCTGGTCATCGGCCCATGAGGAGTCTGTGTATCCCTCGAGCTTAACTGGAGAGGCACCACCAAGAGTGAGGATGTGAGACTTGGTGGCTTGTAGATAGCGGAGGACCCTCTTGGCTGCAGACCAATGCGAGGCAGTGTAGCGTCCAGGGGAGACGTACCGAGAGAGGACACTAACCGGGTAAGCCAAGTCTGGTCGAGTGCACATGATGGCATACATGAGTGAACCGACTAGCTCAGGGTACGGGTCCTTGCAGGCGTCAGGAGAAGGAACTGGAGGGGCCGTGAGCTGATGCTGTAGTGGGAGTGGAGTGGAGACAGAGTTACTGGAGTCCATGTCGAACCGCTTGAGAAGGTTGTCGATGTAGGACTCCTGGGAAAGGGTGATCGTGCAAGCCTGGGGGTCACGAGTGATCTCCATCCCCAGGCCGCCTCCATCCCTAGGAGGCGGCCTGAGGACGGGTGAAGGAAGAGGTAACCAGGGGCAGAGCGAGCGTGGCCAAGGTAGACACACTCAATGGCCTTGGAGGCGAGCTTTCCTGCCTGCCAAGAGCGGTCAGGTGGGGGGATGAGGACATATGCCTTGCAACCCTTGATACGGAGAATGGCAGCATCTGGCTTGGTGCTAGCCCAGAGCTCAGTGGGAGTGACAGACTGGCGTTGAGGATGTGGGTAAAGATTAGTAAGGAGAGCAGCATGGACAAGGGCATAGCCCCAAAGAGAAGGGGGCGTGGAGGCATGAGTGAGGAGGCAGCGGGCCGTCTTGGTGATCTCACGAATGCGACTCTCAGCAACACCGTTCTGCTGAGGGGAGTGGGGAAGGGTATGATTCTGCTGGATGCCATGGGTTGAGCAGTAGGAGGAGAGGGTGCGGTTGAGAAACTCACCACCGCCGTCGGAATGGAGGCGGCGGATGGGGCGACCAAAGTGGACTCGGCACTGCTCGGCCCAGGTAACGATGACAGCAGGGGCCTCGGCCTTCGTGTGGAGGAGGAACACCGAGGAGTACCTGCTGTGGTCGTCGACTAGGACAGGCAGGTACCGGTGCCCTTGGCGGGAAGGGGAAGGGTTAGGGCCCCAGAGGTCCATGTGGACGAGGTCAAGGGGGGCAGCAGCAAAGGAAGGATGACTGAGGTGAGGCTGTTGTTTGAGCTTTCCATGAATGCATGTGGCGCATGGGGGAGCGGAAGAGGACGGGAGGGGAGGAAGAGTGGGGGGAAGACCGTCAAGCAAGCGGGAGGAGACGGCTTTACGAAGTGTGGGAAAGTTCATATGACCAAGGCGGTGGTGGATGAGAACAGCGGGGTGGGACAGTGCGCGACAAGAGCATGGGGAGGAGGTGGAGTTGGAGGAAGGTGGCTCTAGAGGGAGGGGAGGGGGGAGAGTGGAGGTGCCTGCACGAGTGGTCACGTGGCATGAGGAGGGGCGGGGTGTGCGGAGGATGTACTGACGAGAGCGAGGGCAAAGTGGGAGGCGATGAAGGAGGCGGCGAGTGGGGCCGTGGAGGAGGTCACAGTAGGTGGCAGAGGCGGGGAAGAGGGTAGTGATGCCAGCCTGTTGGAGTTCACGAATGGAGAGCAGGTTATGACGAAGGGAGGGAATGTGGAGACCAGTGACCACTCCAGAGGGGAAGGGGGGGCAGGGGAGGATGGAGAGATGAGTGCAAGGGATGGAGAAGCTGGAATCAGCACCATGAACGTTGGTGGGGAAAGGGAGGGAGGTGAGGGTGCCGGCGTCTTTGAGGGCAGTTTCAGTGGCACCACTATCGAGAACAAAGTCAATCGTGAGCGAGGAGGGAGCTGAAGACACGGGGTACTGGAAATCACTGGCATTAAAAACAGAGGGATACATGGAAGTGGAAGCAGGGGAAGAACGCATGAGCTCGCCTAGAAAGCTGGAGTGGGAGGCGGGAGCACTAGGGGAAGGAGAGCCCCAGAGGGGAAAGCCAGGAGGACCTGGTGTGGCTGTGGCAGCCATGGCGGCGGTGCCAAAGCCAAGCTGCTGCTGCTGCCATGCAGATGCTGCGGCTGCGGCTCCTGCAGCTGCGGCTGCAGCCTGACCACCAGAGCCCCACTGCTGCTGCTGCTGCAGCAGCTGCAGCTGCTGGAAGCGGCGAAACTGCTGCAGCTCCTGGGGAGTTATGGGGTCAGCGACAGAGGAGGAGGAGGAGGAGAGCTGAAGATGAGAGGGGAGGAAAGACGGAAGAGTTTTGGCATCCTGGAGAGAGGGGCGGGGATCCATGGCAGACCAGCGTGGGGGGGTGCCAGTGTTGCCGCGCTCGAACCAGGCGTCATCATACGCCTTAAAGCAGGTCGCGGGGGGATGGTTGGTTTGGGTGCAGCGCTCACCCGCCCTGGGACCAAAACGGCGAAGATAGGAACATGGGGGGAGAGTGCCAGGGCGGCCACCACGGCTACCAGATGAGCCACCACTGCCTCCACCACCACCACTGCTGCCACCCTCGACCCCGCCACCACCGCCGCCGGCTCCGCTGCCCCCACAACCGCCACCTCCACCCCCTCCCTGAGGGTTGGTGCGGCCGCCACGTGGGCGCCCGCCACGACGCGGCTGTGTGACTGCAAGCTGGGGGTTTTGGGACTCGGTGGAGTTCAGGCTGGAGGGGGGGGTTGAGAGAAGGCGGGCCTCAGCGTCAATGATCCATTGGACCACAGTGTCAAGGGAGGCGCGGGGCTGAGCCTCAGTGAAGGCGATGACGCGCACTTCATATTGAGGGGAGGGGCCTTCGAGGAGACGGTAGATCTGAAGGTTGGGGGGGAGAGTAGTCTGGTGAGCCTCAAGGCGGGAGGCAAGGTCCAGGAGACGGCTGGTGTAGTCAACGGCGCCAGCACTATGTTCGATCGTGATGCTAAAGTATTCCTTGAAGAGCGGTCCGACAGCATCGAAGTCGGTGCGTTCGAACATTGCCTCAAGCTCGAGCCAGATCTGGCGGGAGCCGATGCAACGTGCCTGGAAGTTGCGCATGAGCGCAGACGGGATGGCAAGGAGAAGGGCACCAGTAGCACGGCTGTCCGCCTCGAGCCAGGCGCGACGACGCTCAGCAAATCGCGCAGAGTCAGCGGCATAAGCGGCGGCGGTAGCGGCATGCTGGGTGCGGAGGGTTGCCGACCGCTCGTGTTCCTCCAACGCGATCAGGTAATCAGTATGGAGCACGAGGAACTCACGACGCTGAGTAAGGAAGAGCTGCTCAACTTCAGCGGTGGCAGCGCAAGTGCTAGTGCCAACGGGTACCATGGGGGGCGGAGGTTCCTCGCCGGGATGGGGAATGAGAGGGGGGGGATCGCCAGGGTGAGGCGGCGGGTCCCCAAGGTCACCCTCTGGGAGACCAAGCATGATGTCCAGGAGGCGGAACGGCAGGACATAAGCACTGCCGAGGACGCGGTGGAGGCTGCCGACGAAGGAATACCAGTTGGTTGCTGAGTTGTCGGCAGCGCGCACGAGATGATCGAGGGTCGAGACGTCGACGGGAGGGGGAAAGGATGCCATTGGTGACACGGAGTGGGAGGAAGGCGACGGCGGGTGGACCCGCGGTGGCCGGGAGGGAGCGGCAGCGGGTGGACCCGCGGCGGCTCAAAGAGGAGGGGAGGATGGGGATGGCTGTAGATACTGCTGCTGCTGCTGCTGCTGCTGCTGCTGTGCTGCTGCTCCTCCTTCTGCTGCTGCTGCTGTTGCTGTTGCTGCTGCTGCCGCTGCTGCTGCTGCCACTGCTGCTGCTGCCGCTGTTGCTGCTGCTGCTGCTGCTGCTCCTTCAGCTGCTGCTGCTGCTGCTGCTCCTTCAGCTGCTGCTGCTGCTGCTGCTACTGCTGCTGCTGCTGCTGCTGAGTCTGCTGCTCCTTCTGGTGCTGCTGCTGCTTCTGCTGCTGCTGCTACGGCTGCAGCAGTGATAAGGCGGCGCTGAGCAGGTGCAGGTGAGGAGGCAAAAGATGGGGAAAGATGGCAGTTAGCTGATGAAAATAGGACTTGGTAGAAATTTCAGTAGCACTTCGTGATCACATCCAGGAAAGTGTGCAAACTTCGGAAAGCGATATCTGACAATCCAAGCGATGAAACAGTCCGAAATTTTACGACGTTGTAGCTTACATTAAGAGCGTTCTTTTGCAAGTCCAATCACTCAATTCTGTCAACTATCGAGCGAGCTATGGCGTTTGGCGCATTGGGGGTTTTTGAAAATCCACCCAACAGAAAACTAGTTGAGAGGCGGCGGCTAGGAGTCTAGCAGCGGCGATGGAGGGGACGGCAAATGAGGTGCACGTCGGAAAGGGACGGGGCGGAAGCGTGGGGAAGGATCGGGATTTAAAAGTTGGCGTGAGCCATTATTGCTCTGATACTATGTTAGAAACAGAAAGGTTCAGTTTATTGATGAAGGAAAGGCATTACATAGGAAGAGAGAGATGAGCTAGGAAGGGAAGGTTGGAAGGGAAGGGGGGGTTAGGACCAATCACAAGGGAGGGAGGATCCTTCCAAATGTGGTTGACCACCAGTTGGAGGTGGTCCAAGTGTGGTGTACCACCAGTGGTTTAGCCAACCCACTTGTGGTGCCCCCACAATTGTGGTCCTTGTGTTTGGGGGCTCCAACCACAATTGGGTTGGATTGACACCCCAACACAGGTGTACACCCAACTAGGGATGTAAACACAATATACACAACTAGCATAGCATGGTATATTCTAACAGGTAGTTCTTGAGATCACCAAGATCCTTCATGAGAAGTGCGGAGCTGAGAGCAGAATGGACAGCTGCCATGTCGGCTGGATCTCTGGCGGCTAGAATGAAGTCGTCGACGTAGACGAGGATGTAGAAGGGCTCGGAGGAGTGACGAACGAAGAGACTGGAATCTGAGGCAGAGGGATGGAAGTCAAGTGCGAGGAGGACTTCCTTCACCTTGTTGTGCCACTCACGAGGAGCCTGCTTGAGGCCATACACTGGGCGCTTCAGCTTCCACACTGTGTTGGCAGGTTAAGTGCCAGGAAACCCCGGTGGGCGTTCCATGTGAACATCCTCCTTGAGCTGGCCTTGGAGAAAGGCGGAGGAGGCGTCCATGGACTTGATCTCGAAGTTGCCGCGAGCGGCTATATCAAGAAGAGCACGCACAGTCGGGAGCTTGGCCGTGGGCGAGAATGTTTTGAAGTAGTCGAGATACTCCTTCTGGGTGAAACCCTTCGCCACGTATCGTGCCTTGAACAGTGGAGCTTCGCTTGGGAGTTGTTTGACTCGGAAGATCCATTTTCCGCCGACGATGTTGACACCGGAAGGGGGAACAACATCGTCAAAGCTGTTGTTGCGAATGAACGCCTCGTTCTCCACATCCATTGCTGCCTTCCACTCCTTCTTATAAGGCCCCGAGAGAGCTTCCTCTTTTGTGCGAGGAGTCGGAATGGTCGGGTTCTCGGTGAAGTTGAGGGAAGGGCAGTCAGTAATGTCCGGGAAGATGTGAGAGAGAAATTGGCAGACCGCGTGAAGGTCAAACAGCTCCTCATGCCTGTCCTCCAGAAGTGCACGGGGGGGAATACGGATGGAGGGGACATCACCCCCGGCAGGAGGAGGCGGGGTGACCGAACACCGGATGGAGAAGGCGGCTGGTCCCCAGGCGAGAGGCGGAGCCGGTCCCTTGGAACGAGTGCGACTAGAGACCGGAGACGAAGGCGGCTGCGGTGGGACCGGAGGGACTGGGCGCCTCCGATAGGAGACTGGTGAGCCGGGCTCGACGCGCGGGGAAGGCGGAGCAGGAGGAGGTGCCGCTGCGGAGGATACTGGGGAGGCCGGGTGAGACACGCCGGACGAAGAAGGCCCCGGAGAAGGGGCAGCGGCCGGAGTTGGGGCATCGAAGTCTGCCCAAACAAGCGTCGGGGGAGGTGGAGGAGGCTCGCCCGTGGTCGCAGAGTGGAATGGGCGTGTCTCATCGAAGACGACATCACGGCTGCGAATTAGCTGTCTGGTGATTGAGTTGAGGAATAAGTAGTCTGGGGAGTCGGAGTTGTGCCCCAGGTACATGCAGGTCTGGGTTTTGGGACCAAGCTTGCCACCTTGGTTCCTGCGCGTGTGGGGGCTTAGCAACACATACGCGGTACACCCCCAGACGCGTAGAGAGCGGGCGGAAGGCGTGACCCCAAGCCAGAGAGCGGTAGGTGTGGTGTCGGACCGGTGGGGATGCGGATAAAGATTGTAGAGGAGTGCCGCATGGAAGAGGGCATATCCCCAGAGTGACCGTGGTGCGTTGGCATGACTGAGGAGGCAGCGAGCGATCTGAACCAAGGTGTGGTTGCGGCTCTCTGCAATGCCATTCTGCTGCGGCCTTTCGGGGAGCGTAAAGGTTTGCCGAATCCCTTGGGCCGCACAGAAGTTATCGAGTTTGCCATTGCGAAATTCTCCCCCGCCATCAGAATAGAGGCACTTCAGAGGAGTGCCGAACGTGACTTGCGCCTGGCGCACCCACGCCATGATGACATCAGGTGCCTCCGCCTTGGTATGCAGGAGGTGCACAGAAACATACCGCGAGTGGTCATCGACTAGTGTAAGAAAGTACCGATGACCGCCTCGGGATGCGACTGGAGCTGGGCCCCAGACATCCATGTGCACTAGGTCCAGCGGAGCAGCTGCGACGGATGGGGAGGAAGGGTGCGGCTGCTGCCTGAGCTTGCTCTTGGTGCAGTCCAGGCAGGTGGGTGCGAGTGAGTTTGTCGGCAAGTGTACGGAAGTTGGGGTGACCCAAGCGATGGTGGTAGAGGATGGTTGGGTTGGCGAAGCTGCGAGACGAACACGGAGTGGTGCTGGCAGCTTGCGCTTGGGAGAGGGCAGCGAGAGGTGCAGGTGAACACAGCGTGTAGAGCTTGCTACTGTTGAGTGTGAAGCGTGCTAGGAGCTTGTTGGACTTAGGGTCGAAGAGGTCACAGTGATCCGAGTGTGCTGGGAAGATCGTGGTGACGCCTGCCCGTTGGAGCTCGTGTTGGGCCACGAGATTGTGGCGTAGTGTGGGAACACACATGCCAGTCACACTGCCCGAAGGAAAAGCTGGGCACGAAACTGTGGAGGAGCCCTTGGCGTGTGTTGTGAAACTGGAGTTTGCTCCAAGTAGACGGATTGGTGTCTCGTATGGCTTGAAGGAGTGTTCTTCCTTGAGAACCATGTGAGTGGCCCCACTGTCGAGGGTGAAGTCTATTGTGGCCGAGGTGCTTTGTGAGCCAGGATACTGCGAAATCGTCTCATTAATCATGGCAGTGCCAGGGAACAACATGAGGCGCACATCAGCAGCTGCAGCCACAGCAGCCTGCACGGATTCCTGCGCTTCGACTTGATTGACTTGGCGAGGAGCACGATTGACCATCCAGCTTGGCGGCTTGGAGGCGGTCCCATTGACGGCATACCACTCGTCATCCTTCTTCTTAAAGCAGGAGGCAAGGCCGTGGTTGGTGCCGCCACACACCTGGCCAGCACGAGGGCCGTGCTTGATGACGTAGGGACACGGGGGGAAGCGGTTGCGCTGGAATGGCACCGAAGCGGCATAGGCTTGAGGCACGGGAGCGCGGATTGCATTGGCCTTGGCTTGAGCGCTGTTGTCCTTTTCGGCAGAA